CCACTACCAGCTTGGAGTCGCACCTGATTCTGATGTGCCGGGCTCTGAGGCCGGCGGCGAGTCTGAGACCGCTGAGGAGGGCCTCATACTCGGCTTTATTGTTGGACACCCTGAAGTTGAAGCGGATAGCATAGTAAGCTCTGAATCCTTCAGAGGATATGAGGACGACGACGACGCCACATGATTTCGCGGCCGACGGGCCGTCGGTGAAGAGGATCCATGTGTCATCGGGCTCCGGCCCGGGGGTGGTAGTGGTTGTCTCCCTTGCCGTGCATTCGGTGACGAAGTCGGCCAAAGCTTGCCCTTTGATAGATGGCCTTGGCTTGATCTCAATCTGGAATTGGCTGAGGAAGATCGCCCATTTCACCATTCTTGAGGAGCTAGTGGGGCTCCTCATGAGTGCGCCAAGGGGCTGCTGGGTCAGCACATGGACGGCATGGGCCTGGAAGTAGTGCCCCAGCTTTTTCACCGTATGGACGATGGCTAGCACCGTCTTCTCAATGGGGGAGTACCTGAGCTCGGCCTCCCTAAGTGTCTTGTTGATGTAGAAAATGGCCTTCTGCACCCCTTCGTCCTCACGGATGAGCACAAAGCTAATGGCCGACGTGCTCACCCCTAAGTACAAGAAGAGGGTTTCGCCGGCTTTGGGCTTGGAGAGCACGGGTGGGGACGATAGGTACCTCTTCAGCTCTTCGAACGCTTCCTGGCACTCCGTCGTCCATTTGAAGCTATTAGCTTTACGCATGGTCTGGAAGAAAGGGAGTGCCCTCTCGGTTAACCTGGAGAGGAAACGGTTCAGGGCCGCCAGACGCCCCGTCAGCCGATGTACCTCCTTGACGTTGCGGGGAGGCTCCATGTTGATGATAGCCTGTGTCTTCTCCGAATTTATCTCGATGCCTCTCCGGCTGACCATGTAGCCGAGGAACTTTCCGCCTTGGACGCCGAAGGCGCACTTCTTGGGGTTGAGGCGGAGCCTGAACTCCTTCATGATTTCAAAGATTTCCCGGAGGTCGTCGGCATGTGTGGTGGCTTGCCTGCTCTTGACAATCATGTCGTCGACGTATGCCTCCATCGTCCGGCCGAGGACTGCTCTGAAGATTTTGGCCACCATCCTTGTGTAGGTGGCGCCGGAGTTTTTGAGTCCGAAAGCCATGACGAGGTAGCAAAAGATTCCCTCCGGGGTCATGAATGCCGTCTTCTCAGCGTCATCTTCATGCATGAAAATTTGGTGGTACCCTCTGAAAGCATCAAGGAATGACATCAACTCGCATCCCGCCGTTTCGTCCACCAACTGATCAATGTTGGGGAGATGGAACGGGTCCATGGGGCACGCCTTGTTCAGATCAGTGTAATCAACACACATTCTGAATGTCGGTGGTTTTTGGGCGAGGACGACGTTGGCTAGCCACGTCGGGTACTTCACCTCTTTGATGTGATTGATTGAGAGGAGCATGGCGACCTCCCCTTTGACGAAGTCCCGCCTGTCGGCGGATAAGTAGCGCCGCTTCTGCTTGACAGGCGCGGAGGCTGGATCGACGGTCAGCCGGTGAGTGATCACCTGCCGGCCGATGCCTGGCATGTCGTCCAAGCCCCACGCGAAGATAACGGCGTATGACCGTATGACGAGGAGGATGGCGTCTCGCTGGTCCTGTGGGAGTTGCTTCCCGATTCTAAGGACCCGCTCCGGCCGGGAGGTATCCAGAGAGACTTCCTCGACCTCCTCGGTCGGTTCTGCGTGCGGCCTCTCCTCGTCCTTGGCCACGGCTACCGTGATGGTGTCTATCCTCTGTCCTTCCCTGTCGGCCGGCCTCGTTAGCTTGAGGTAGCATGCTCTGGCTATCCTCTGGTTTCCTCTGGCGTAGCCGATGCCGCCATTGGTGGGAATTTCAGGCACAAGTGCTTCATGGAGATGATGGCCTCCAGGTCCTCCAGTGCTGGTCGCCCCAAAATCAGGTTGTGGTCGCACTGGAGGTTGACCACCATGAACTCCATGTGAATTTTTGCGCGGTGGGGGCCGTCACCGACCTCCACGGGGAGGACTATCGTGCCATCGGCGTCAATAGAGTCCCCGGTGAAGCCGGATAACGATGTCTTGATCGGCTTCAGCAGAGCTTTGTCCAGCTTCAGCTGCCTGGAGGTGTCCAGGTACATCACGTTGACGGAGCTCCCCGTATCGATGTAAGTGCGGTGGATGATGGAGTCACCGATCTCACACCGGATGACGAGGGCGTCCCTACGTGATTCCGTACCCGGAGGCAGATCCTTGTCGGTGAAGGTGATCACCTCCGTTCGCTGTTTCTTCGGCTGGGGGGGAACGTGGGACACCTCCCCAATGTAGAGGGATTGGGCCCATTTCTTTCTCTGGGTGATGGAGTCCCCCCCGGTGTTACCACCTACAATGAGGTGAATATGGTTCTTCTTTGGCGGAGGCTCTTCAAAGTCCTCGTCGTCGCTGAGCCTGCCGATCTCCCGCTTCTTCGTAGAGGGTTCGCCCCCAGGTTTGCCGGTGTTTACCCACGTATTTTTGCATGGGCCACCTTTAACAAATTGGGAGAGTTCCCCCTGACGAATAAGGCGCTCGATGGCTTTCTTTAGCGTGATGCAGTCGTCGATGTTGTGCGAGGAGTTCTTGTGAAACCGGCAGTATGTGCCGCCCTGCTGGATGGAAAGGACCTCCTCGGCCGGCCGAGGAGCCTGCTCAATGAGGCCATGCTTCTCGGCATAGTCGAGGATGGTGCTGACCGGGTGGGTGAGGGGGACCCCCGGCCATTCCAACCTCGGCCGCCAGTGGCGGTCTTTCTTACTTTGTCCACCAGAGCCATGACGGCCCTGGGCACCCTGGCCGGACGGGGATGGTCCCGGGGCCGGCGAAGGATTTGTCTTCTTGGAGAGATGGCCTCCCTCTCTCTTGTGGTTGTGGAGCTCGTCGGCGTCAGCGTACAAGCTCCCGCGCTGGAGTGCCTTTGCGTACGACCTCGGAGGATCGGTGATGAGGCTCCTGGCGTACGGGGAGCTGCGGAGGGCTCCCTGGTACAGGACGAGGAGGGTGCGCTCATCGGCCCCCTCGACTTCCTCGGTCTCCCTCGTCCACCGATCAATGAACGACCGGAGGGACTCATCATGTTGCTGCTTGACGGAGAGGAGATGGGTGAAATACTTCTTCGCGCGTTTCCTCCCGGCAAAGTGGGTGAGGAAGCGTTGGGCAAGGTCCTGCCACGAGTCAATACTTCCTTCGGGGAGCGCGTTGAACCACTCATACGCTGGTCCCTCGAGAGTAGAGAGGAACCAACGGCAGAGATATTCATCCGACACGTTCACCATCAGCATGTTGTTCTGATAACGGCTGAAGTGCTCATGGGGGTCTGATCGGCCATCGTAGGACTTGATGGCGTTCCCCCTGTACTTCTCTGGGATGGGGGCCGAGAGCACCCTGTTGGTGAAAGGGGTCCTGGTCCTGACCTGGATGACGGGGTCACCTCGCCCTTCGGCCAACTCCCCCTCAAGGGCGCTGACTTTGTTCATGAGGGTGTTGAGGCCAGGGTTGTTGGAGGCGCCAGCCGTGGGGATGTTGGCTGATTGCCTGGCCTCCATCTGAGCCAGCCTCCTTTCCAGCTGGGCGATGACCTCGTCCCGGGGGTCCCTGGAGGCCGCAGCGGCGCCCTGCTGGTTCTTCATGCGCTCGTCGTGGGCTGCATTGATCTGGTGGCGCACGTCGTCTTCGTGCAATTTTCCCTTGCCTTTGTCCAGGCGGGGCTGGTCCGCTGTCCGGGACACAGACCCCAAGCTTTCCCTTGGCGAGCCAGGCTGACGTTCACCAATCCGCCCTGCCATCCTCTCCGAAACCGGACGACGGCGCGTGTCACCTAGCCTATTGAAGGCAGAGGCTTTTCCACGCGCTGGGGTCTGCCCAGGCCGAAGAGGGGAAGCGGGGTGGGAGTGGGACGACGCCGTGTCCTAGGCCATCACCCCCTCATCGTTGCCTATCTGGACGGCCAACGGTTGGGGCTGAGGAGGTGGAGTAACATTCCCCCCAGTCCTTGGCAAGAGTGCGCTGAGGACGGTGGGGTTCTGGGCCAAGCTGGCGATGATGACCGACAGCGCGGCCTGGACCTGCGGATCCACAGACGGAGAAGTCGCGGCCATAGGCTGGGCCGGGGCATGGTCTGTCTTCTCAGCTCGTTTCTTGTCCAAGCCGATGCGAGCATCAGGGGCTCCGCCGTTGAGTTGGTTGCGGAGGTCCGTCGTGAGGTTGATGGCCTCCTGGAAGACGTCCCCTCCGCCGACCTGGTCGGCCGTAGCATCCTCCTCGTGCTCCCTGGTCTCCTGGTCCTCAGGGATGGCCTTGCTGACGAGGTTGCGGTTTGACTTAGTTCTTCCCATGATCAGTGGTTAGCTGTGCTTGGTAGCGACGAAGGGTGCTAACTTGATTGTTCTAGCTCTCAACGACAACACCAAATGATAAAGTACATCTAGAGAGAAGTGAGATCTAGAGAGAGAAGTGCAATATATGCCTCAATAGAATGAATTTGTAACCCCCATAACTACCTCCAGAGGAAGTATTTATAGGGAAAATACGGGCTGGGCTCCCAAGCCTTGGGCTTGGGAGGCCCATTTACAACTGGACCGCTATTGGGCCGAATACAAAGCCACTGGTGGGCTATACAAATGAATAAGTGTAAAATCCAGTTCTGTGAGACTTCCGTGGCCGACGAGGACACGATCGACGAGGGCACGGCCGATGAGGGCACGGCCGACGAGGACGCCCTGGTTCCTTGGCTTCAAGATCATATTCTGAGTTGGCCCTTCTTCGGCCGATGAGGGTCTTCCGGCCGACGAGGGCACCGCGTAGTGGCTGTGCTTTCTGTTCTAAGTATGTGGGTCCTGGGGCCTAGACCCATATACTCCATCAGCCTTCATCCTCGACCCTCCCCGGTCACAGAACTCATTGCTTACTCCGACGCCGACTGGGGCGGCTGCCCCGACACTCGTCGATCTACATACGGCTATTGTGTTTTTTTAGGTGACAACTTGCTCTCTTGGTCCTCCAAGCGTCAACTACGGGGGCGTTTTAGCAACCCACGTTCACTTGCAACGCACGGCCGGTCAACACTAGATATTATTCCCATATTTAGACTTTGTATATTGCTCATATTATGTCTACATTCATTTAGCTAGAATATATGGTACATACCTTATACGTATTACTAGCGGGAAACGGATGTCTATGTATCTTGTATATATATTTGATAAATCAATACGAAAACACACGGTGAATTGCTATTCTAACTTCCACCTCTCTTTTAGCTTGGAATTCTGCCATCCAAGAATGTCTGGCCAGAAGAAGACGACCAGCTCCAGTTAATTGAATCCCAAGCTTCCATGGTAATCGGGCAAGAAACGAACAGGTGTTGCAGAGTCTCTTCTTTCATTCCACCAAGCCGACAGCAGTCCACGCAATTAACAAACCGGTTCTTCAAAATAAGCTTCGTGGGTAACAATCTGCCAAAAAAGTGCTTAACCTTAGGAGGTATTTTCCACCGCCACATCTGAGTCCATTCGGTCCACCCATCCCCTTCAGCTTTGCCGACCAGTGCCCTGTAACACAACTTATCTGGCACTGACCTGAAACTGAGTGGAATCCCTTTCATGAGATCGATATCCCACCTTTGTTCTCTGCGCACAGAAGGTTTCCGACGCTTGCATTCTCAAGCTCCAAAACAGGATTTGAAATAACTTTGGGGTTGATCGTTTTTATCCGGAAGCCACGGTTCAGTCCATATGTTTATGGCCAAACCATTTCCAACTCTCCAATAATATCCTTGCATGATTAATGCTCTGCCAGATGAAAAGAAGAATTATTACCCCATTTTGCAGTCAAAAAATTCCCATCTCCAAAATATCTAGCTTTGTACACCTTTCCAACAAGAGATTCCAGTTCAGAAAAAAATTCCAAGCTTGTTTTGCTAGCATAGACAGATTAAATTCCCGGAGCGTCTTAAAACCCAAACCTCCCACTTTTTTTGGCCGACACATGAAATCCCAATTTCTCCATCTAATTCCTTTACCAATACCCATTCATAAGAGTTTATATTACTTTTAGTTTATCTTCTCTACACATATTTCAATCACATACGTAGTAATTTTTATTTTATTATTTCTCATGCTCCGTCAATAAGTTTCAAAGGTTGGATTTAGTACATATAAGTAATATTTTGTGGTCAATAGTAGATATAAGCCTCGGTCCATTCCCAAAAGAAAGTATTTCATAAGTTACAAAGCCTGAAAGACTAAAAATATTGATAAGAAATACACTTGATATTCATGATCTACAACGATAAATACTATATATAAATATTATATATTCAGAAATTTTTCAAGAACAATTTATTTTTTGTAGTAATGTTACTATTTTTTGTATAATAGTGTTAGTTCCGTGCATCGCACGGGTACATTACTAGTTCGAGAGTACAATACTATATAAAAATCGATCCGCCTCCCCACCTCTTCATTCACCTCCGCCTCCGATCCTCGCGCTCTCGCTTTCTAGCTCGCCATCGACTTCATAAACACCCAACGCAATTGAACCTCTCTCCCATTCTACTGTATCTCTTCACTAATTTGTATATTGTAAATATTTTCCCATGGAGGGAACTAGGGAAGTAAGGTGTGCTCTAAGTAAAGGGATGAGTATTTCTCAAACCTTCTCAGCATATATTATGTGTTCAATGTGTTGACATTTTTTGTTAAGTTACTTATTTGAATCTAAATTGTCTGTAATTTATTTGAATGAATTTCAAAAACAATTTCCTTGGGTGAATAATGTCAACATTTACAAAGTATTAGCTTAAGTGAACTGTACTCTTCATCCTTTTAGCTTTTCTCTGTGGAGTGTGAGTGCTTTAAACCGATATCAACCTTTTTAAGATTCCAAATGCTAAATGCAACATCTGCCCCTTCTGGTCCATCTTTTTGAACTTGAACTAAGCATTCAACTATCATGTCTAAAAGGCTGAACAACTCTTTTGGTGCACCACTGTCAGTCATCATTAGCAAGTCCTGTGAATATATATAAATATTTAAGAGAAAAACGCCTCTGAATCATGAAGGATATATATATTCCAAACTATTTGGAATACTTTGATCCTCCTTGATTTTGAAAGCTGAATATGCATAGCAACAAACCAACCTTACTCATAATGGTCAAATTGTCCTGGTAAGTGGTAACTCATCCCTCCAAAACGAGAATGACATATTAGCGTTGAAAATACGAAGAATCGAAAATACGGGATTTTGAATTTTCTTTCTCGGTGTGCAACAAAGGGTGCACATGTCAGATGGCTAGAATGATAGATAAACCCTCCTCTTCTTTATGGAGTATAATTAAGGATGGCAATGGGGGCGGGCCCGTGGGGGGAGTTGGGACGGGTGGTGGGGCGGGGCGGGGCAGGTGATGGATTATGCACCCCACCCCGTCCCCGCCCCGTACACTACAAAAAAATTACGAGATTGACATGGAACTTGACACGGATTTACCATTTTTTTTTTGCCAAATAGCTCGTGCCAAAGTGTTTTTGACACGGATTTGGCATATTCCTGCCAAAATCTCTGCCAAATCCCTGTCAAAATTTCTGTCAATCACATGTTTTTTTGTAGTGGTACCCCGTATATACACACATATTAATAATTAATAATAATAATCACAATAATAGTAATACTAATAATAAGGGGTTTTTACAACAATATTACTAAAATAAAATTTATTTTACACAAATATGATTATTAGTTACTACAATGTAGTGTCATAGTAACCTAAGTTTAAAAATTGAACATAAGTTACTATAATTTCATTACTAATCTAGTCACTAGTCACATTTTTGTAAATAATCTTCATTTTAGTCATAAATATGTAATTACTAATACGAAGTAATTAAAATAGCATGGTGGCCCGGTGAGTTTAGTTGTTTCCTATCTAATGATTTGTGACTAATGGGTCTATCTAATTCTTGTTTAATAACTCAGCTATCTTGTAAAATTGGTTATCAAAATAATATAAAATAAAGGGAAAATTATCAATTACACCCTCGTACTATGGGCGAACCCTCAATTGAGCCCTCCTACTTTGATAACCTTCAATTGAATCCGTCAAGTCTCCAAAATCAATCAATTAGGTCTACATTACCGGTTGGTTCCCGGTTTGCCCGTTGCTTGCCTTCCTGGCGCTGACGTGGACTTTGCCTATCGGTCTTTCAGTGCTGACTCACTTAAATCATTTTACTTCCACTATCCACCCCCAATCAACACCACACCGTGCCCTAATTGACGACCTTAATTCGAAGCTCTGCGACATAGCACTCCTCGACATAGTCATCCACTTCTCACCGTCGACCTCGTGACCAACAATGGCCTCCTCGTCTACAGCAACGAGTACAAAAGAGCGAAGAAGCACTACAAATTACGAGCCTGCAGTGTACTGTTGGTGTGGATTGAAAGCGCCGTTGTGCGTGGGAAGGGAGAGCGGAAGACAATTCTATGGGTGTCAAAATTGGCTGGTAAAACGTCGAAAGAATTTACATTTTTTCATTTGATGTGCATATATAATACTGTAGGTTGTGCAGGTTATGTTTTGAACAAATCTTGTATTGGTAGTGATTTTGAATTTGAAGAACATGTTCGTGTGATAATAGGTGTGTTCGTATTGTCAACAGGGAGAAGGGTGTGGCTACTTCTTGTGGAAGGATGACATAGGAAGAGAAGACATGATCAGGCCTGGCCAAAAGAGAGATAAGTTTGATGAAGTAAAGACCATGGTTGAAGGTGTTGTCCAACGCTTAAGCCATGTTCAAGCAGATGTAACCACTATAAAAACCGTTCTTGAGAATGAGGTTAAGGCCAGAAAGAGGTGCAGGAAGCTCGTTGTCATAGGGTTGGCTGTATTTCTGTGCTTTGCAACAAATATGTATTCAAGCTATCATAGTTGAATTGTCTCGGATGTAATGGTATCTATGTTTGAAAAAGTTCACCACCAGTTTATTGTCATGGAAAGTGGAATGTAGTGTCATATGGTATCTATGTTTGAACAAGTTTTCCACACGTTTTCATCTTAGGTACTTTTGTATTGTCAAGAATCTAGATTCCTGGAATGTATTCATTGTGTATGTTGTGTGGCATTTCATATACCTGTATACACTTAGAATATGTGTACTATTAAAACTTCAAAATATACACTTAAAACCACAAAGATAAGATCATCTATTATTTCATATACAACTGACATTCAAGTATGGACAATAAGGTGTAGTACACCGATGAAATTCAAGAGCAACTCACATATATTACTGTCAATAGTTCAAAAGCAATCTTTCTTCAGCAATAATGCATAGTACCCGTTGAACTACAATAATGCAATAAATGACCCCATCAATGGTCATCACAAAAAAAGGTAGTTCGAACCTCGGCCATACATCCATACACCAAAAGCAATCCCAATATAGTACATTATCATTACATCCACCTAATGACAAAAAACTACTTCCATAAATGTTCATTAAAGCAATCCCTCCTGTTGTTCTCCAATCACTGTCTCTCCAGGCTGACCAGGTTGCATATAACATACAAAGCAAAATGAGAAAACATCATTGCCACAAATTGAAATGACTTAAGCATACAAGTCAGGTGTGAACTTACTTCCAGAATGGTTTCACCAGTAGCTTCATCGACATACACACCAACCCCTGATTGCCTTCTGCTTGTATTGCCCCCCCTCTTCCCTCTTCCTCCTCTTGGGCGTCTGCCTCTTGCACTTGGAGTCACTGTACCTGCAGTAGTAGAACATGATTTCTTGTTGTGGCCTTCTCCTCCGCACAATGAGCAAGTCATGATGCGCCCTTTTCTTGAGAGTTGTGAAGAACTGGGTGGACGTGCTTCACTTTGTTCCCTTACACGCTTCTTTTTGGGTCTGCCACTCATCTTCTTTGGAAAAGGCGGTAAGATCTCTTCATGCTGGGTTCTCGGCCATAACAGCTCCCCATTGATAGGATGCAATGTGTAGGAGTAAGTTTTCTGGTACATCTCCTTACTGTAACAGTGGTCAACGTATGCTTCTGCCTCCTCCCCCTTGTCATAGATGGCACAAATGGCATGGGCACAAGGGATACCACTGAGATCCCACCTTCTACAAGAACATGATCTCTTCTTAAGACTGACTTTGAATTGCCCTCTTCCTTTCTTGATTTCATATCCATCATCACCATTGAAATCCACATTCCATCCTTGACTTGCTAGAATATTAGTATTCAGCTTCTTCATTATTATTGGACCAAATGAACCTGCATAAGATTTGGAAAAAAAATGCTTAATAAGATTTGATAATCAAATAGAATAATCAATAGTACATATTACTGTGTAACCAGACCTGGCCATTTCAGAACATATTTTCTCTTCTTGGCTATCCTTTTCATTGTTGCAACACGAATGTCCTCAAGCATTGGGATCAAAGGCTTGGATCTTGCTTTTAGAAGTGTGCTATTGAAGGCCTCAGACAGGTTGTTCTCAACTGTGTCACACTTCACTGCATCCCTAAAGAAAGCTTTACACCATAACTTGAATGGGTGTTTGCGTAAGTCAATACCTGCTTGAGCATCAGCCTTATCTAGCTCAGCTAAATTAGCTTCCAACTGAGGTTCACATGTTGACTTCGCACACTGCCAAAACAACTTCTTCAGATTCATCCCTCGATGTGCTTTGCTCCAATTACCATGAATATGGCATGCACAGTTCCTGTGCTCAGAGTTAGGGAAGACTCTGGTAATTGCATTAGCCAGGCCCTACAAAAAAAAATATTAACCAAGACATATCATATACATTAATGGACAACATGTAAGCAGTTATGAAGATACTTAACCTTCTGTTGATCACTGATGAAGGTCCACTCATTTGGGGCAGTAACATCCAAGTCATTATGCAGCAACTCCAAGAACCAAGTCCAAGATGAGGTATTTTCTATCTCAACCACAGCCCATGCGATTGGATACATTTGGTTATTTGCATCTCTACCTACAGCACTCAATATCTCTCCCTTCATTTGTCCTTTTAAAAAACATCCATCTACACCAATGATCTTCCTACACCCTTCTATAAAACCCTTCTTCACTGGTCCAAAGCAGACATAAATGCGTTGGAATACACTTGGTTGTTCTGGGACAACTCTCACAGTTTTGATGACAACTGTACTATTAGGTATTGACTGAAGGCATTCCTCTGCATAGTTCCTGATCTTTTTGAATTGGTCTTTGAAAGCAGTTTGGTTTTTCTCTTCAATAGCTTTCAAAGCTCTGCTGGCCATGCTTTCAGACACATTGAGTTTATACTCAGCCTTGATAAGATTTTTCAATTCCACTGCACCCATTGATGGATTCTCAACCACTTTCTCCTCATACATGTCAGCTACCAATTTGGTGCACACTATTCTCAGCCTATACCTCAGATTGCAGCTATGTCCTTCTTTGAAAACTTTGACCTGAAAACACTTCAATCTCTCCACCCATGAAGCTGTTAAAGAAAAAGGGCAAGTTTTCCCACATTTCACTCTCACTCTCTTAGGCTCATTTTTGTTGAAATACAAATCTCTTTTTTCAAACACAGCATATTTAATGACTGCCTTCTTAAATTGCTTTCCATCTTCAAATAACATGCCAACATCAAAACTTGGGGGCTCTGATTCAGGATTAAATGAAGCATACCTGTTGTCTGACCTTTTACACCTCCCAGAATCATCCTCATCCTCAGACATGTAGCTGCGGGGATTAGATGAATCATACTCTGTACTGTTCTCCTCATTCTCACTATCATTACACGTGTTTGCCCCCTGTTGTGTAGGTATGTGTTCAGAGCCCAGTATATCTTCATTGACCTCATCCTCATCTCTCTCTTGATGGTCAGTTGATGCAGCTTTTTCTATCTCAGATTCTTCTTCCATCCATGACTCATCTGCCTCAGAGTCTTCTGACATCCATGATTCATGTGTCTGACCTTCATCTGCCTTTCATGATTCATCTGAACTGACATTGGACTCCTCATCTTCAACAACAACATCTTCATGAATATGGGCACCTGTTTGTTGATGTTCACTTGCTCCAGGCTCATCTTCAGGAACATGGTCTTTGTTTGTACCATCAATTGGGGCCTCCACTCTAGTCACATCAACTTCAGGTTGAGATGCCTCAGGTGCAGGCAGAAGTTCAACCGATTCCACCTCATCTAAGCCATGTTCCACAAATATGTCACACTGTCCACAACTAGTAGCCTGCTGTATGAGATGAAGGGTTGACTTATCATCAGACAAGTGTCTTAAAGATTTCATACTCTGCCTTGGTTTTTTGTAATAGAGAGCCTTAATGTTACCATAACTACCCGTTTTTAGGCACTTCATTAAATGAGGATAGCAAATCAAATCTGGGTCAATTGGTAAGACATCAACTGCACCACCTACGTATATTATCTCAGGAATAGACTTCAAATTTCCTCCATGGTGAATGATTAGTTCAACCTTGTCAAACATGTTGTACATATGAAAATATTGAAATCAGATTTGGGAATGTGTAAATTTTTATTAGATAAAGAACAATGACCCAAACGAACGTTTCTAAAGTGCAAATGACTATCGCTTCACGTAATAATATCATCACAATAGCAACATTCATGCGACAAATACGAACACAAATCACCAACCTCATGTAAATACGGTGGACTTACAACTATAAACTAACCTGGCGTTTGTCTTCTTCACGTGGACGGTGAGAAGTGGATGACCAGCGCCGAGGAGTGCTATGTTGCTTATCTTCTCGCAGAGCTTCGAATTAAGGTCGTCAATGAAGGTCAGGGCACGGTGTGGATAGTGGAAGTAAAATGATTTAAGTGAGTCAGCACTGAAAGACCGATAGGCAAAGTCCACGTCAGCGCCAGGAAGGCAAGCAACGGGCAAACCGGGAACCAACCGGTAATGTAGACCTAATTGATTGATTTTGGAGACTTGGCGGATTCAATTGAAGGTTATCAAAGTAGGAGGGCTCAATTGAGGGTTCGCCCATAGTACGAGGGTGTAATTGACAGTTTTCCCTAAAATAAATTGAATTTGGGAAAGTTATAAAGTAATATTAGCTTAAATAACGCCTCAGGCACTGTGTGCATGTTTTCTTCTTTTACTATTCTAGTGCATTAATTCTTTTCTTATGAATGTCATCTTTATGATTGTAGTTAGGGCTCTTAAAAATCTGGTGACCATAGGTCGTTCTAGATGTTGTCAAATGACCATGGTTGATTGAATGAAAGACTTAAGAAAATACTATAGAGCTGATCAATGCTAATAAAGTGTTTGATAAAATGAATAAATCAAAACGTGTATAATGTGTTCTAGATTTGAAATAGGATGTAAGATTACATTGACACTTAAAGCTAAAAGGTTTTTGACTACATACTAGAACTGTTGTTTGATTTTTAAAAAATGTCTGAATAAAAAATAGTGTTAATTTTTGACGAATATTTCCCTCGATGGGTACTCGCGGATCTAGCGGGTGGGGCGGGGGAAGGGGCGAGTCGAAGAGTAGTGAGGGATGGGGCGGTGGTGGGGGCGATTTTTTAGACACCGGGTGTAGGATGGAAGAGTGAATCCCTGCCCCAACCCCGCCCCATTGTCATTCCTAGGTATAATGAGGCAGGTCTACCACATTTCGTATCCCAGGCCAGAGTAATTGTTCATTGTTTAAAGTAATTTCAGGTTATGAGTTTTTTTAATTAATGTCTACTTTTAATTTATTATTCTTATAGTATTAAAGTATTTTTGTTCTTCAAAAAAAAGTATTAACATATTTTTTATAATAAATGTTGGGATATTGGCCCGGAAGCCCAATACCCGGATTAAAGGTCCAGGATATCCAGCCCAAACAATGAGCCCACTACCCTATGATAAGTAGGCCCAGTGAGATATTCATACCGAATGGGGTTCAGGTCATACATCATACTTGGGTCAAATCAACAATGTTTTACACAGGGCCCATTATCCCGTTCGGGCAACAGACAACCAGCAGGTGTCCAGGCGCAATCAATGCCAGATTGTGACATCAGCAAGTGGAGACATGGGTGATCAAGTCGGTGGAACGTCGGCCAATCAGCATAAAGCGTCCCATACTCTCCATTAGTATAAATAGAAGGTTTAGTATCATTGTAAGGGTTAGCATTTTAATACTCAAGCCCTAGAATAGCCTTATTACTCTTGTTTCTTGTATTAAGCACAAATCCGGCGTGCCGTTCGGGAAATTTCCTTGTAATCAAACAGGTTAATTAATACAAGTGGGTTTTTGAGCATTCGATTATCCATCTTTTATATTTCTTTTATACACTGAATTAACGTCCCATTTCCTGATATATCCAAAGTTTGTGTTGGGTTTTCGGGTCTACGGGATTAAACTTCAACATTGGCGCCGTCTGTGGGAAACTCTGAACAAAAAGTTTCACACCAAACAAAAAGCTATTTTCAAAATGGTTAGAATTACTTCTCATCACACCGGAGGAACTTCAGATAGACATGGGGAAAGCCGGACCCCAAGGGCAATCCAGTCGGGGATCCTACCCACACTTTGATGGGGATTTTTTCATCCCCGAAGCATTAAGAAGGAACCCCCATGCCATGCGAGATTTGGCTCAGGTCATGCAACATATGGCGGATGAGCAGGATGGGGGACAGTCTAGCTACACCGGGGAAACTAGGTACACAACCCCATCATTCAATGATGAAACCACTGATGCAGAAACAACCACGACATCAAATCACTCACGAGCCCACCGGGGAGAGCGCGCAAGAACACATGCGACCAGGGGCAGGCATCACACTCCTAGTGACCGCACCCCGACCGGGTCACGGGCCAGAGGAGATACGCCCATTGGCCGCCAGTTCCAGTGTGAAGAGCGTAACAATACGAGATTCGGGCAGAGACGTCAGAATCAAAGAACAACTCTGCCGGAAGCAAATCGGGAGTTTGTGAACTTGGGAACTCCACCACCGCCTCCCCTAACAGCCCAAGAGGAAGAAATGGCCGAGATGAGGAGGCAGATGAACGAAATGTGGGAACAAATGAACAGAGCCCCTCTGCAACCTACTCCAGCTCAGGTCGGAATCACTTCCCCTTTCACCCGGGAAATCACGCAAGCGGAGATCCACAGGGTCTCCAAACCACCGACCGGTCAAACATATGATGGTGCGGGAGATCCCCACGGACACTTGAGGAGTTATCAAGTGGGACTTATGCTATTGGGAGTGTCGGAGCCGGCCATTTGCCGACTTTTCTTCAGCATGCTCAGTGGGCCTGCCCAAGAATGGTTCGGGACCCTGCAGCCCGGATCGATCGGCAGCTTTGCCGAATTGTCAGCATTATTCCTGGCCCAGTTTGCATCCAGTGCCACTCCGAAGAGGCATTTCAGTTACTTGACTAGTATCAGGCAGGGCCCGAAGGAGACCCTAAATCAATTCCTCAAAAGATGGAGGGATGAAACCCTAAAAGTGGGGAGCATGACGGATGATACGGCCATCACCCTATTTACTAATGCTCTCCGAACGGGTGAAATGTATAAAGAGCTGAAAAAGAATCCAGGTACGGTTTATTCTGAAGTGCTGGACAGATCCCGAAAGCATGCGGCTCTGGAAGAAGAAATCCTGATCAGGGATAAGGTAGCTGCACCCCTACGCCAATGAAACTGGCCGATCGGCTGGGTCCTACCCCAACAGCCGCTCCACCTTCAAGAGCGGCATGATTCACTCCTTTGGTCCTTTGAGTAGCAACCATTTATCA